AGTATTTGCAGAAAAAGCCCCCCACCCCACCTTTTCACACACAAGCTATATAAATTATTATATGAAAATTGTTTTTGAGAGATTTGATTGGTGTAAAATAAAATTATTAAATTTTCCGGAATAACAAGAAGGCCTTCTGTAGAAGACAGAAGACCTTAATTAACAGAATACCAGGTTCATGGCTGAAGAAAATAATTCCTGAATTTTCCTCTTCAGATCGGGTAATTTTACATAGAACAGGGGCTATTTTTTTTTTATATGAGATCATAAAGTATGTGTAAACTTTCTTAGTTTAACAGAATCAGAAAAGTACGTTTCCGGCGTGCTATATATAAACAGTAGTGATGAGGCCTTCACGCAAGTGCGGGAGCGGATCCCAGTTCAAATTAATAAAAACGATGGGAATTAGAATTTTACTGATTCTAACTATCATTGAATGAAGTTATTCATATGCAATTAATATATTAACAAGAAATTGTGAAATGCTAATGAAAACAGCTGACAATCGCTACTTTTTAAAGATAATTTAATTGTAAATAAAATTATTATAAATTCTCTAGACAAAACAGAAGAAGACTGAATGCTGCCAAAATATCAGATCACATCAACGGAACTGAATTTTATTCATGAAACTCTTAAGATCTTCTTCAATTGTAAATTGTAAATTTTATATCTGCGTTATATCTAGCTGTTTTCGGAAGGGGGGGGGGGTCTTGAAAATAGACATGTTAATTTACCATCATTTTTTAGTGAGTATTAAGCAGTAGCATTTTGAAAACTTCATGATGAAGGGTTGCTTTTGAAGGTCATTTCATTAAGAATCCAAAGCATAAAGCAAAACTTGCCTTCTTAACAATTAGAGAAAGGTATATATAAAGAGAGAGAGAGGGGGGGGGGAGGTTAAACTATGACATGGTCTTTTATACATGTATATTTGAAAAGAGGGAAATAAAAAATGCGCCCATCAGATATATACCAGATACAACCCTTTTTATTTCATAGAAACTCGTTTCTATGGCAATAGGAAAGTTTTCCGTATCTTCTCTGTCACCAGGAAGTTTTATCTCTACATTCCGTACTATGAGTATTATACTGGTGCAGTCCCCGTAAACTACTTAAATAAAAATAAAATGAATAGTTTGTAGTGTTTAAGAAACATTGGTCCTACGTTTTATGGAAATCCTAAGATATTTTATTTTTTCTTAATCATATCAAGAAACTGGTGAAATATACAAGCTCTATAGATTAGCATTTACGTGCCCTAGTAATATTAGACAAAAAAAAAAGAAATTAGGAAGACAAAGAAATTGAACAATTTATAGCTTTAAAAAGATCAAACATAAACGTATATATAACGTTTATTGGCCACTCGTATCAAGAAACTGCAAATAAGAACTTTCAGTTTTTAAATAGACATCCTTTGAAAATTTAATATATGCATGTATCCGCACAACTATTGGTGTTGACCTTTATTTCTGTGAAGTTTGCTAAAGGTTTTCTAAGCCTTCTACGAGAACGCTCCAAGACGAAAGAAAGGAGAATCAAAAACAATAAGTCGTCCCGACCTTCCTTCCGCTGACCATCAATTCCATTTTATGCAGAAACCACTGTGATACATTGAAAGGATTAAACCAATAAAGTTTTGAAAAGTTTGCTTTGTTATTTACCGAGAAAAATGAAAATATTAAAAAAAAATCACCTTTTTCCTGCTTCCATGGCAACGGTAGGCATTTAGAAATTTTTGAATGTTGACTGAACAAATAGAGTGTCTTATCATAATTCCTGTAAATTTTCATCACAATTGTCCAAGCTACCTCGGAAAACATCTGTGCGTATATTAACCTTTTTCTGTTTCTTTCATTCCTAAGGCAACTGTTTGCAAAAGATCCTAATTTTTTTTAAATAGAAATTACTTTGACAAAATGCAAGGAACAATCCGTACAAGTTTCAAAATAATTGCCTGAGCAGTTTGTGAAAAAATCGAAGTTTAGCAATTTTTACTTTTCTTCTGTTTCCATGGCAACGATGGGTGGCATGAAAATTTTAAATGCGATTTGCAAAACTACAATTACTGGTTATCATTTCTATGAAGATTCATTACGATCTACTAAGATATCAGCGAGAACACTTCTGGACAAAATTCTTCACTTTTCGTACGTTTCCACGGCAACGGTAGCCATGCTGAAACTGAATTTTTTTTCCACATATATACAGTTGGTCTTCATCTTTTATGGAAAGTTCCAGCAACAATGCCCCAGCCATCAGCCAGAAAGTCCCCGGACAACGTTTTCATGCGTACAATAGCAATATGTCCCCCGACTTCGTTCGGGGTGACATGATAATAGAAATCGATATTGAAAAGAATTATAAAAGGAAAGTACGATAAATGTGAAGATTATATTACATTCACATACGTATCATCAGTATGATTAAGATTTTGCTCGATAAAATTATCTTAATATTGCTGTTAAGAATTATCATCAGCATGTAAACTACAAACAGATATCATATTTTCAGCAACATTATTTACATTCAATAATAATGTATGATATTAAACAACTATTCTCCTATAATGTATCTCGATATAACGACTGCATGATCGTGTCGTTCGCACGACTTTGGCCAACTTTAAAATAGTGTTTGTTTGCCCTCTCCCGACTCAGGATGAAAATATTCGGTCGGTAGGTGGAAACATTTTTTTCTCAGAAAATTTCAATATCAATGCTGAATTTTCAAACTATATTTCCCAGAATGCATAAAAAAATTGGTGTTCCCTTGAAGTTAAAAAAAGATTTGAGTCGAGCCATTTTTATCCAGTCGGTCGGGAGAGGGCAACCAAACATTTTTTTTTAAAGATGGCCTTATTACTTGTTATTACGACTTATTATCTCGATATTACGACTAAGTATTTGTCGTTTGTACGAGTTATTATCTCGTATTTATACAATTCCTATACGACTTAGTATCTCGTTATTACGACTATCGTTCGTATAACGTATCTCCTCTTAATTACGACATATTCTTTCGTTATTACGTGTTACTATCTCCTACGTACAGCTTTAAGTTCGTATAATTATGTCCCTCAACTTATTTTGTCGTTCGTACGACTTAGCATCGCGTACGTACGACACATTATTTCCTATGTAGCTTGTAACACAAGCTTTGGTTGGTTACAAAGTAGGGTGTAAATTTCCGTACACCCGACTTGAGCCGGGTGTAAAAAACGTGACGTCACAATGCATAGTTTCGCTATGATAAAAAGCAAATAACATGACGTCACGATGCAAATTTAGGACGTAGTAAATTGAAACATAGTTGATTGGACTTGTTTTAAAAAGAATTTATTAGAGTACATAGGAAATAAATTCGTTATCCAGGTCCAATCAAGGGTGTACGGGGATTTACTCCGGATGGTATTCCATACACCCTTCGGCCTTTGGCCTCAGGGTGTATCCATGGGATAAAACCCGGGGTAAATCCCCGTACACCCTTGATTGGACCTGGATGACTAATATTATCTCGTAATTACGACTTATTATCCCTTACGTACATTTGTACGTCTCAGTATCTCGATCGTACGGCATAGCAAAAATTTATTACAAAAAAGGGGGGGGGTCCTCGATCCTCCTCGATTTTCAACTGAATGAGACCCGTTTCGGAATGAGATGTTCATTATGTCATGATTTTATATTGTATTATCAGTGTTGAAATCTTTTTCTCTCATCAAAATGGAACGAACGCCTAGTCGTACATACCTATCATGACCTAGTGTTTGTCACCTCTGCATACCAAGGGTTTTCGATCTGCACCGCTTCCCACGGAAAAGGACCGCTTTGTGGCGAGCAGAGTAGACCGAAAACCAATTAAATTGGCCGATACAGTGTAGTAAATAAATTTCTCTAAGCACTAAATGTATTCCCCATGCTTGGGGTAATGCTAAATGTAAAGGAAATGTAATGCAAAACATTGCTTGAAATCAAAGTAATCAAAATATGCTAGTAATGTGTAAGGCCAAAAAATTCTGCATTACATGTACATGTACATGTAGATGTAATAGTAATGTAATGCATTACTTTCTCAAAACTATAGAGTAATGTTGTCTAATTTACAATTACATATACTACCTTTGAATTTTCTTACTTAGATTAGTTTTAATTTCAAAGAATTTTCAATGGCATTTAAAATATCTTTTTAAATTTAGGATACAATTAATTGAGTGTCAACAAAACACAAACAATATATTGCTTTTAGAAGTGCTAAAAAACCAGTCCCTTTCCCCTAGTTGTTATTAATATATGAAACATTAATTGAACTGGTCTATAGCAAGTGCTGACCATGACAAATCCATTGGACCAAAAGGAATGGAAGACAGACATATTACTTTTAGTAAACAAAATGCACATATACACACTGTCCAAACCCTTTTAGTTGTCAATGTATTGATTTTTTTTTTCATAATAAACTACCCATCAAAACAACCTACATGTATGTCTGAAATTCAAATAGTTCAGCAAAGGGTTAAGTGCCACAAATTTTTTTGTTGTCTGACATCAATAAGTTACACAAAAAGTACACATTTTACATGATTTTATCTTGGTAATTGAAAGTTTCCTCTTATGAGTAAACAAAAGATATTTAATTAAGTTTTTTACAAAAATACAAGCACTTGATAATCAAATTCGAATCAACATTCATCACATTTAGTTTTGAAGGGGTGGGAATGTTCAAGAAAATTGCACAAATTTTGAATTTCTATTTTTGAAAACCCAAAATGTAATGGTAATGCGATACTTTACAACTACCCAAACTCTATAAGTAATAGTAACCCATGTAATACATTACTTTACAATGAACATGTGTAATTCACCCAAGCCTGGTTTGACCCAAAGAAAAAATAATGCATCATTCTAAATTTAAAATGTTTCAGTTTCTCAGGAAAAAAAACAATATACCCCCGGGATCTTTCGATCCAGGGGCATAAAAAGATGAAATAAGATTACCATTTTCTTTCAGCAACGTCAATCCCTTCTTTGCCTCCTCGATTGGTAACACGTACGACGTTTTGGCTGTGTGAAAGCAGAATCCACATTTGTAGTTACACTGTCGTGTTAGATGATAATTTACACTTGTCGGTTTTAATTCTTTGGAGCCTCCTTCTTCCTCATATGTGACAATTGAACTTGAATAATTTTTCCCCTTTATAATTCCTCTCTTTTGTTTCAGTGCAAAGAGTATAAAAAGAAAAATCATAGCAAATGCAGACAGTGCGACAATAGAGAGTGTTGTTTCTTCCATGTTTATGCTTGTATTGTACAGCTGATATGTAATGTTTATCTGAACAACCTGAATACAAGCCTGTTTTGAATAGTTTTCAAAAATAAATTGGGTTTGTCTACTTTTACTTTCTATATTGATTCTTTGAAATACGCGCGTACATAGTATTTAGGTCATAAAGGCATTTTGTTGTTTATTGTTTTTGTTAAATTACCTTTTCTTCGTATCTATGTTTACTTCTTTGTTTTGATTTCGTTTTGTTTTGTATGGTGGCATATTTTTGCCATTACTTCTACGATGTTTATATCGACTTGTCAGATGATCATATCGACTTGTCAGATCTTTGTGTCAACTTGTCAGATCTTTACATGTATGTCGACATGTCACTCATTCACTTGAGTAAAATTTTAACATGGAAACGTGTTCATGACCAGTTTATAACATCCAATTGATAAAATATTTTTCGGACACGTCAATATAATCATATGAAAAGTCAACATACAGATCTAGTAAGTCAACAATCATCTGACAAATCAACATAACTTTCTAACAAGTCGTCAAAATTATCTGACAAGTCGATATAACATCTGACAAGTCGACCTAGATAATTATATTTCGACTTGTCAGAAAATTTTGATACAGACCCCAAAACGTGCGTTTCGTTTTTGTGAACGATACTTTTCGTTTTGTGCACGGTTCGTTTCGTTTTGTGAACGTTTCGTTTCGTTTTGTGGATGGTACGGTATTCAAATTAGGTGGGCGGAACCTGCATGTACGCTTTAGTAAATAATTGGCTACTAGATAATGTCTTTTAATTCTTTCTTATTTCCATTCTTGTCGATACGATATATCCCAGTGAGCTTGAAATAAAGATACCTCAGAGTCAGACACATCTGTTTCATATTTGGATATTTTACTAGAGAAAGACGTTAATGGTAATCTAACAACCAAGCTTTATGATAAACGTGATGACTTTAACTTTTCAATCGTCAACTTCCCTTACTTATGCAGCAATATATACCTTCATCACCAGCTGCATACAGGGTTTATATCTCTCAGTTGATTCGATACGCAAGAGCATGCTCTACGTATGAACAATTTCTAAAACGAGGTAAGTTATTGACAAACAAATTGATGAAACAAGAATATCGACAGTCTCGTTTCATGTCGTCATTTCGTAAGTTCTATGGTCGATACAATGACCTTGTCAGCAAATACAATTTATCATTAAGTCAAATGCTGACGGACGTTTTTCATACCAATTGTTAGGCCATTATTTACACACTGAATCGTCGACAGATTCCCCCGTTATTTCCCGATCATGACAAGGAGCACACGGGGGTGTGACCGGTCGGCAGGGGATGCTCACTCCTTCATGGCACCTGATCCCACCTCTGATGTTTTAGAGGTCCGTGTTTGCTCTGCTCCAAAATTTGTATTGTTTGATGGACTTTTGAGCTTGAATACTGTTCGTTATCTCCATACATTTCATTCTTTATTTATTTATCAATCTCTTTATTTTATGTAAATGAAAGGACAGTGTCGCAAGCATTTTTAACTAGTTGTCATAAATATTAACTTTTCGTTATTACATGAAACCAGTTTTCTTATCTTTTTTTTTTAAATTTATGTTCTGACTAGTTTTTATTTATTTTATGTTGTTTTAATTTATAGTTTGATATTTTGGAAATAAATCGAACAAATCAACAAACACTGTATAACAAGGATGAAAAAAATATTTTGGTTGCAGCCTTTCTGCATTATTTTTTAAAAAATGTATAAACGTAGATACATGTATTCTTTTATTCCTAATCGAACACAATCATTATTTTACATATTCACTTATTACACTTGTAAATAGATAAGACTTAGTTTAATTTTATAAATCCCCATACATGTACTTTTACTTCGTCTACCATTCTTTTAAAATTCTTGTCGTTGCTGCTTTATATGAAAAAAAATTCACATAATTTTTCTTGACCGAATGATCAAACAATGAAAAAATAAATATGTTTTATTTTATTTGTGAGCTACTATAAAAAAAAATTAATCGATCCTTTAGGTATTTGACTCACTAGCAAAATATATATTAAAAGTAATGGGTAGAAGTGCACATAGTGTAAAAAAATTAGTTTATTTTCTCTGCGCGTAATTGTTTTCGATTTTCTATAAAAAAAATTTCATCAATATGTAAAAACGCATTATAAACGGAAGTTATAATCAAGAAAACGGTTATGGCAATTACAATTCCATTTACAATGTACTTTTTCTATGAATGAATATAATTATTAGACTGCAAAGACACAGATTTTCGATATAGGCATTGAAAATTGGGGCTTAGCCCCCAAACGTTTTTTTTTTTTTTTGGTTGGTTGGTTTAGCCCCCCCCCCCCCCCCCCGTTTCAAATATGCTTCCCACGCCTATGTGTCATATATAATACGTTGAAATAATGTCTGCGATGCGTAGCAGTAATATCTCTTATCGAAAATTGTGATTGGATCAAAAACATCAACGAAGCTAAAACTATAGACCTTGCAGCTGAAAATTTTACAGTAGAATTCCTTTCCTGTGTTCGTGAATGCATACCAGAACAAACTATAACCATTCGCCCTCGTGACAAACCATGGTTTGATTCAATGTTACGTAAAACAATAAGAATTAGAAACCGTCTTCGTAATAAAGCACAGAAAACTAAGAAAGATTCTGATAGGTCTGCTTATAGAAAAGTCCGAAATTCAGTTAACAATATGAAAAAGCACGCAATTTCAAATTATTATGGTAATATAGAAACCTACTTGGAAGACTCAAGTAAAAATAACAATAAGTTATATTGGAAGTTAATGAAAGATTCATTTAATATTAAATTATCTAACGAAATACCACCAATACAAATATTTAATGACGGTTTAAGACAAGTAGCTTATTCCGACTTAGACAAGATTGAAGCATTAAATTCGTATTTTTCTTCGATTTCTTCTATTGATGATTCTAAAGAAACACTGCCACAAATGTACTTTATGTGTAATGACACACTATGCAATATTAAAATTGATGAACAAGAAGTATTAGACATAATATCAATACTTCCCGTGAATAAAGCTATTGGTCCTGATTGTATTAGTCATAAAATGTTAAAATCCACTCTTTCTACTGTTGTTAAACCACTTACTATGTTATTTAATAGGTCTTTGTCAGATAAAGTTTTTCCATCGTTTTGGAAATTAGCACATGTTATTCCTCTTTTCAAAAAGGATGATCCCTCTGTGGTTTCCAATTACAGACCTGTATCGTTATTATCCTGTGTTAGTAAAATTATGGAGAGAATAATATTTAAACACGTGTACAATTATTTTCATATTAATGATTTATTTTATCGATACCAAGCAGGATTCCTGCCTGGTCATTCAACTGTATATCAATTACTAGAAACGTATCATAGTATAGTTCAAAACATTGATGATGGTAAATCATGTTGTATGGTTTTTTGTGATCTTTCAAAGGCTTTTGATAGAGTATGGCACAAAGGTCTCATTTTTAAATTAAAAACTTATGGTATATCTGGTGATCTTCTCCAATGGTTTTCCAGTTATCTATGTCAAAGGTCACAAAAAGTTATGTATAAGGATCTGTTATCATCAAAACAAGATATTTTTGCAGGTGTACCTCAGGGTTCTGTTTTAGGACCACTATTATTTCTCATTTATATTAATGATGTTGCTGAAAACATGATTTCAATGTGTAGATTGTTTGCGGATGATAATTCCCTTCAACAATCATCATACAATATATTAGATATGGAATATAAATTGAATCATGATTTACATAATTTGGAACTATGGTCAAACAAGTGGCTTCTTAAATTCAATCCATCCAAAACAAAGGTCGTTTATTTCAGTAAGAAAAACATTTCTGTTATGCCTAAACTATTTTTTAAAGGCGATAGACTGGAGTGTGTTCCAGTCCATCGCCATTTGGGTTTACTATTGTCACAAAATCTTAGTTGGTCAGAATATATTGATGGTGTTGTAAACAGTGCTTATAAAAAACTAGGCCTCTTAAAGAAATTGAAGTTCAAAATGGGTAGAAAAAACTTATCAAAATTGTATATTTCGTTTATCAGACCTATGCTTGAATATGCTTCAGTTGTTTGGGATGGCTGCTCTAAACGAGATTCTGAAAAGCTTGAAAAAGTACAATTAACCGCCGCTAGAATTGTAACAGGACTTCCGATTTTTGTGTCTAGAGAAGCACTATATTCTGAAACTGGTTGGGAAACTTTAAAAAGCAGGCGATATATTGCAAAAATGACAACTATGTTCAAAATTCACACGGGAAGAGTACCTGAGTATTTGCATGATATTATCCCCAATAAGCGTGAGCATGTATCTCTATACAATACCCGTAATAAACAAGATTATATTGTTCCAAGGTGTAGATTAGAATTATTTAGAAACTCTTTCGTACCTGATGCTGCAAAACAATGGAATTTACTAAAAACAGAGGTTAGAGAAGCCATCTCAATCAAAACATTCCGAAAAAACTTGATAACAAAAATTAAAAATCCACCATCATACTTCTCTTTTGGTAAGCGATACACCAATATCATTCATACTAAGCTAAGACATTCCTGTATTCTAAATTATGATCTTTATAAACGAAACATTATAAATAGTCCCTTATGTTTATGTGGAAAAAATGAAGATGTGTACCATTTCTTTTTTGCATGCAAAAATTATTCTAATGCAAGAAGTACTCTTTTTAATCGCTTGTTCACTCTTGAATTGGTTACTATTGATATAAATCTATTATTATGTGGTGATGTTAATTTGCCTTTACAGATAAATAACAGTATTTTTGCTGCTGTTCATAAATTTATTGACGAAACATGTAGATTTTCTAGTTGATATGCTATTTAATTGCTTTTTCACTTGTATTAATTGTATTATTTTCTTCTATTTTGCATGACAAATTGTTATATATAAGGAGAGGAACTTTGTAAGTTGTAAAGAACTTGTTTCCA